CACCCACACACACATACACACATACACGCACACACTAACACACACATACACCCACCCACAACACCCTAACTTGCACACGGGCGCACGCACACACAGGACACCCACCCACCCACAACACCCTAACTCGCACACGCACAAACACACGCACACACGCATATACACACACCTATAGACACATGTCCACACGTATACACAGGCATCTGCGTTCGTATGACAAATCTAAGCGCACACAAACTCCTGCAATCACGCGTCAAAAAACCTGCAGCGGTCATAGCTGTCTATGTAATAGGGGTGGCCAGCAGAAACTTGCGCTGGTGAGGGCATTTAGATACCAGGTCACTTCTCTTGTTTAGGGAGGTAGCTTTTGAAGCTTTCAGGATGTGGAACTTTTCGGTTAAGCATAGGCCACACTTCTTGCTGATGTTACTGTACGAAGGTGCTCTATCCTTGATCTCCCATCTGATGTCGAATCCGCGGTTCTCGTTTTTCAGGTCCCAGATGTGCTTGGACAACTTAGTCGATGCGGCGTACTTTTCATGGCGGAAGTCCGAAGTGTGTTTGTTGTAGCGCTGCTTGAATGTGGTAGCAGTCATGCCGACGTAGGTCTTGACTTCGTTGGATGCTACATGCGCCTCGTACACGACGTCGGAAGACTGGCAGTCACCGTTGAGGGGGCACGACGCCTTGACCCGACAATTGCATGGCACAACTGGCGGTCGCGAGTGAAGTTTTGCAGCATTGTGCCCTTTGATAATCGACGCTACGTTCTTCATACAGCTGTAGCTTACTTTTGTTGTGTTCTTGTTAAACACCTTGTGTAGCGCGGACCCTTCAGGGAAGTGTTTCTTGACGAGGTATAGAAACTTTGCGCCAACGTTGGTTTTGACCGTGGTACTGTACGGCGGGTTAAACCAGATGACGTCGCGGCTGCGCCCTTTCTTCGCTTTTTTCTTCGTGTTGCTCGGTTCATCCTTGTATGTCATGGTTTTCGGGTGGCCACTTGAGGCCAGTGCGTCCTCGTATAACGTTTTAGCATCGTTGAACACTTCCTCATTGCATGAGATACGTTGCAGCCTCTTGTTGATGCCAATGGGTATTTGTCTCAGCACCTGCGGTGGGTGACAGGACCGCACATCGACGTACAGGGGTGTACTATTCGGTTTCCTGTATGGTTGGAATGTTCCGGTGGCGAGATTCAGGGTCACATCCAAGTAGTCGACGATCTTCTTGTTGGTTTCGATTGTTATTTTTAAGCCGTGTGCTTGGAATATCTGTATGATCTGTTTGCGCGTGCGGTCGGCATCATGACCCGTGGCGTCCTTCATTATCGCTAGACCGTCGTCACGGTAAAGACCCACGCACTAGTCGCCCAGGAGTGGACGGAGTTTGCTGAGGATTAAAGCCCCAACAAGCTCGCAGGCTTCTGCGCCGTCGTACGACCCCATTGTTACGTCGAATGACCCGTCCTTCTCCTTCTTCATCCATGCTTTGCCGCCGTCGAACAACAATGACTTCCGTGCGTGCAGTATCGTCTCAATGTCCTTCTTGGACATTGGAACGTGCGTCCCGGCGTACGACAGGGCATCCAGCAGAAGGTCTTTCGTTATGCTGGGGTAAAACTCGACGATGTCGAACACGACGAAGGTGTACCGCGGCTTGTCTTCAATGCCCTTGAACCACTCGATGACCACTTGCGTGTTCTGCCACAGATTCTCACATACGCTGCTCCGCATGGGGCCGATAACACCATCCAGTATGGATTTGCTTACGACGCCTATTTCGGACTTGGCGGGGTTAATCAGCCTGCATTGCAGCTTGTCATGGAAGTCGGCTTTATGATCCTTTAATGTGACGAACGCTTGTGCCTTGGCCAGACATTCAATTGGGCATCCAGGTGCAGATCGGCAGCTATATCGCGGGCTTCGGCATTAATCGCCGTGTAGTCGGTGTCTGGGGCGAGTTTGTACTGCTTCGTCACGTTGTCATGTAGCAGCTTTTCATACTGCGGGGCTGATACTCGGTACAAGTTTCTTGTCTTGTCCGCTGGTACCACTATATCATCACACTCTTTAAATGCATTGCGCCCACTAGCCATGGCTGAGGGACGGATGTAACAGTGGTGTGTATAACCTCGCTAATGGCAGTGTCCTCAATGCTAATGGACGCGTCATGTTTTTGTTTATAATTTAAGGTGCAATTTAGCGCTGATGTGGGTATTTCTTTGCTTTTCTTCATTGACCAGGCAGGCACAGTGGGTTGGTCAAAGACCATGATTGAGATACGAGAGGTACCTGGTTCAAGTCCTGCCTGGGAGTGGTTTTTCCAGCCGTGCTGCTACCCACAGTCTACTGGGAACTTGTGGCCAGGCACAAGGGGTACATGGATGCAGCTAATGGGGTCGCTTTCGGCACTTGTGCCAGTGGTTATGAGACTTACCCACTCACCCCCACCGTTAGGCGCTGCATCTGCCGCTAGGGTTTATCGGGTGTTAGCGGCCGTCGTGAGTTCCCTTCGGGAACGGATACGATAATTTACTTTTACTTTTACTTTTTCTTCATTTGGTCCTTTAAAATGAAGCGGCTTTTTATTTCCTTTTTTCTTCTTTTGCACCGAGATATTATTTCTTGCTGTTTTTTACCGGATGTGTCACGACTTTGAATTGAATTGAATTATCACACTCTTTATGGTGTCGACACTGCGTTCATACTACAAAATAGGCACTTTTACAATTTGAGGGAAGTTATAATGTGTAATCCTGATATTGTCTTGCAACTCTATGAAGCTTTTTGTACAGCAACAAGAAGGGCGTTCCGTAAGCACTGTTTATTTGTCGACATGCATGAATTTTTTACAATAGAAAGGGAACTACTTGCAAAATACAGTGCACTTCGATATGGACAACTAAAAATGAGAAAAACAGGAAAAGAAACGAAGTGATACAACACACCAAGCATGTGCCATAGCGCGAAAAGAAATCAGCAGAAGAATACATTGTGTGAGAAAAAAGTCGCAATCGAGCTATGTCGTTGCTGTGTCATCTGCTATGTGCCATGCACTACTTGATGTACCAGCCTGCTATGCCGGATACCGCCAACCATGCATCGACCAGGCGCCAGGCGCGAACTGATGGTGGTGGTGGTGAGAAGGAGAGCTCTGTGCCAGAACTTTGCAGCCTAGAGAGCGTGCGTGGGCAGGCGTGTGTTTACCGCCATATTGCCAGGTGTGTCTTTACCACCATATTTATCAACCATAAGTACAGCTGCAGTGGTGTTTTCAAATTCATTCTCCCGAGAAAAAAGCTTTTAGGTTTACAACATGAGTGTACTCTCTCTATTGTTGTTGTTGTTGCTGTTGCTGTTGTGGTTGGTCATTTTGTGAGAGCTTGGACAATTCACTTGTCCAGGCAATAAAGCAGTCTCTCTCTGTCTCCCCTCTTTCTCTCTCTTCCCCTCTCTCTTTCTCTCTCTCTCTCTCTATTTCTATCTCTATCTATCTCACCTCTCTCATCATGCATGCGTCACGCTCTCATGGAATTTTCTCTTATAAGATTGCACGTTTCACACTCGTTCCCTTCGGGAACGGACACGATAATTTACTTTTACTTTACTGCTGTGCATAATCAGTAAATTGATGTTGCTGGGTTTTTTTGTTTTTTTTTGTTTTTTGGATTTTTTTGGTTTGCCGCTCTCGGGGCCTTCTATTCGGTACTCTTTTTAGTTGTACTTCTGTACTGTTGAGCTATCCGAATTCAAATAAACACTAAAAATAAAAATAAAATTACACTGTCATGTAATATTTCTTTCCTTTCTTAGTCTTTTTGTGAGAGCTTGGACAATCCACTTGTCCAGGCAGGAAGGCAGAAATGCCTGTCCATTCTGGCGAAGTAAAATAAAATACACCAACCAACCAACCAACAGTATGGCTTGCAGCCCTGCGTTTCAGCCCGGGGGCAGCGCACTAAAGTCGTACCAGCCCGCCGAGAGTGTTTACATCTCCCCATTTCTCTCCTCATCAATCCCTACTTGTCTTTGTACATACAGTCAAACCTCGTTAGGACGAACACTGATAAGGCGAACTTTCCATTAGTACGAACTAAGGTCAATCCTATGGTTGGCCAGGCATCAATTCTAGTCAAAATTGTTCGTTTAAGACGAACTTCTGTACAGCGAACTTTCGCGAAGACGAACTATTTTCAAGTGTGATTTGAACAAAGTCAGTGTGGTCATGTACATGTAGTACGAACTTTCGGTCCAGGAGCGTGCGCGTGCGCTGGCTGCCTTTTTTCTTCTTTTTTTCAATAGTCGAGGTCATTACTTTACGTACAGTGCAAATTGTTTTCAAGCGTGTTTTGAACAAAAGAATCAGTGCGTTGTACGAACTAACTTTCGACACAGTCGTGATTCATTGCACTTTAAACTTTGTCATTGTACTTACATGTACATGTACCTGTTTCTGGCTTATGCTAAGAATAACGTGCTTCCCATGTACCACAGCATGCACCTTCACGTAAATACAATCCATCTGATATGCATATCGATTTTTTGTCAGATCTGGATAAGAAGAACTCCCGATAAGACAAACAAATTTGTTCAGTCCCTTGAAGTTCGTCCTAACGAGGTTTGACTGTATATCTACATGTACATGTGTTGTGCGCCATCTATGGATCTGCCACATCGATCGATTTGGCTGCGCGATCGATCGATTTGGCTGCGCGATCTGTCGATCGACAGATGGCGCAACGATCGATCGATCGCGCAACTATCGATCGATCGCGCAAAAAAAGAAAAGCCAAATCGATCGATTGTGAGCCGTTCGCGGAGTAGGTATTTTACTACTCAAAGAACTTTATAGGTAGGTATTTTACTACTTCCTGGTGAACGGCATCAATGCAATCAGTACTTGGCGACTGGCGGAACATCACTCAGTAAATAAAACAGTAGATGACGACGATTCCTTGCTTTGAAGAAGTAATGGCCTACGTTGTCGAACATTCAGATCCACTGGAGGCGTTCTACAGCCTGGAGCCCACTGATAAGGATTTTGATGCGACTTGAGTAAGTACTAAAGTGATGCATAGTATTTTTGGGGTCAACTAGCCATTGGGAAATTCACTCTTTTCTTTGATATTCACCTGGAAATAATTGACTCCATCAAATCTTACACAATATCCGAGATAGCAGAAAGATAGTCCTAACCCTCTTGTGCAATGATTTTGTCATAATTATGTCTATGTCCAGACCTACTGCTAACTAAAATGGCATGAAATGGAAATATTTTTGGTGATTATGTGTAAAAAGTAGTGGTTGCGACCTCGGCGATGATTTGTAAGAAAAGGGTTTGCTCCCCACACCGGAGGACGCGCTATTCCGCCGACTTTACTTGACACTTGACTGACTCACGACTGCCATTCCTCAGCCTACTCAAGCTCAACTGATGAGGGGTGAATTCCCCGAAACACTGTGTATTGAGCAGGGAGTGGTGCTTTCTTGCAGGTTTGCCGAGTCGAAGGTTCGATGGACTTCTCGTGTGCTCTGGATGGCAGTCGTGAGTCAGTCAAGTGTCAAGTAAAGTCGGCGGAATAGCGCGAGCTCCGGTGTGGGGAGCAAACCCTTTTCTTACAGATTGTGTGTAAAAAGTCCATTAAAAGACATTTTCATCACAATATACACCAGCCTACCACTACAATTTATAGTGTCTCACCCATATGACTGCAGATGGATTGTATTCTCGGTATATTCCCGTTTCCATCGGAAGTATTGTCTTTTCCGTGTATCTGTTCCACGCATTCTGAGAATGGCACGTATTCATCTAAAATGGCGGACGCCCACGCTGCATACATGGTATGGGCGCACGTGAGCCACGCTGTGGGGACACTTGTTCGATTCCGCATACAAATGTATACAAATGCGTGGAAAAGAAGTTTCTCTAATCGCTGGAACTTGTGAGTTTCTTTCGATATAGACTACTGGTCTTCAAGGTATAATAGTAGTAGCGACTTCAATCACGTGAACAAAAGGCAGAAATCCTTCGTCGTACGAATGTATGGTGCAAGCATGGCGTGCACGGAACAATTTTTCTCTCGACGTTCCACGCCTGCCTACGCGTTATTCACGTATCTGGCGCCTTCATTTTTACATGATGGTCAAGCACACATTTAATAGCTTTCCAACGGTGTGTCGCATGTCAAGAGTCATCGAATTTTGGATATATCGCTCCGTATTTTTAGTTTTCAAAGCAAACTTTCGGCATCTCAGCTACCTTGCCCGTCAATGACCGAGTCACCATCGTGTTCAGAGCCCTCAAATTAGTTTAGATGGGTTCATGGTAAGGTTCTCCTCCGTAGCCGTTTTTAGCAGTTTGAAGAATTTGTGCGCAGCGGCTGAAGTCGGCTATGGAGTGCACTATTTTGACGGGCTCTGCGTGACGGAGCGAGCAGACCTTTGGCTTGTAAATCCGCTAGTAATGATTATGTTCTTCACGTCAAGATTCTGGAGGTGCTTGACCAGTGAGGAGGTGATTATTTCAATCCATCGGCATCGAAGCAGAGCACGTCCCGTCCAACATCTATGTGTCCGACGGTTTCTCCGTCACCCTCCAAGAACCCCAAAAACCCGCATATCGCGCATACATTTACTGTGTTGCATGATATTCATGAGGTCCGAGAAGCCCACTTTTGTGCCATCGCTCTGCATACAATTGCATACATGGGCTCCAACGATTGCATACCAACTTTGGGGCCTGATATCTCCGGTTTGGGACAAGATATACTCATGAAATTTTCTGTATGTGCTCTGCAGAGGTTTCTCTTTCCAGTCGTGTAATTTGTTGGCCCTAATTCCGATTGTAGAATTTTGGACTGAAGTCGCTAATAGTAGTGACCCAACGAAGTGGAATTTGCGGAATACAACGTTCGAGGCGGCTCAACAAGTCAAGAGTAAAGTGCGAATTTTCTATGTACGCAAATGAGAAAACCTACTTGTTTCCCCGCAGCGCTAGTCACGTGCGCCTTCAGTGAATACGTGCCATTTGCGCGATCTGCAGATCGCGCTGCGCAATCTGGGAAATTTCAGATTGCCCACACGGACCACAGATTGCGCCCCACAGGGAATCGCCGTGCTCTTCATGTTTTTCAACGCAATCCACAGATTGCACCCCGCCTGGATTCGCTGTGCTCTTCACTGTGTTTTTCAGCTAAATCCACAAAATTGTGCCCCGCACAGATTCGCCATACTCTTCATGTTTTTTCAGGGAAATCCACAGATTGCGCCCCACATGAATTCGCTCTGCTCTTCAGGTTTTCGATGAAGTCAACAAATTCCATGAACCACTAACGTGAATTTTTCCCCACGCGTACTTGGGTGTGTTCCCAAAAGTCTCACCGTAGCTCAGGGACGCGGATTTAATTTCCACCATGCCTAGCCGTGTGCCACAAATACCTTTGTGTCACCCCAGAATGCATGCGCAATCTGGAGTCTTCAGATTGCGCAAATTCTCAGGATGCGTGGGACGTATCTGTATAGTCAATGCCCACTTAAACTTGGGGAACTGTGTGTATTTTCTGTATATCGTGTCAGAATTCATGGTATATTCCAAGTCTCCATCCATATGTCTAGTAGTCAAAATAACACCTGTGTGGACATTGATTCAGTCTTGGTCTAGTTTATTACTGGTTGGTTTCTTTCTTTTCATTCTCCTCACTTGAATCAACCTCTTGCTCACTGGAGCTGTCTCATTCTTCCCTTACAGAGGTGTTGGTGCAAGTGTGGCATTTGTACCCTGGCACGCATGGCTGACTTTCCTTTTTTCACTTGCATTGTGTGGTCTTGCAGCTGGAATTGCACCCACAGCCTTTTGTCAGGCCTGTGACAGGCTGACTGTGGTTGCAAGATGTTAGCCGAAGCCCCACACCATGATTAGGGCATTGGTTCTTGGTCATCGGTTACCTTAAAGAGGTGGGCAGTTGATAGTAAATTTTGTGACTTGAGCGATAACCAGAGACCACACTGTTAGTGCATCTTAATTGCACTGTTCTAGATTGCACAGTATCAGCATTAAGCCACACGTTTTTCTATGTTTCTCGTCACCCGCGTGCATACGATTCAGGAGTCTGGAAGAAAAAAAAACTGTGCTACACTGTGGGGACCATGTGCAGCCTGGCCTGGCCTGCGCGACACATGATGTTGTTGGAGTTGACTCTTCCATTTTCTCCTCCTCCTTTGGTGTCGGCAAATGAGGCGGAAGCTCTGTGGGTGGGAGCTCTACTGGGGTTTGATCCACAGCACGTTGGTACATCACGTGGGTTAATGACTTAATGTCACCACTCAGTGGTGGCTGATTTACATGTTGGATCGATTTGCCATGTAGCACTCTGCTGGCATCCTGGCAATGCATTCATTTCCACGGTGCCTCTTTGTCGATTTTGTCCATAGACCCCACAGGCACACTGAGCATTTGTAGCTGAAGTAGGTCCTGAATGCTATTATCTTTTACTGTGTGCACCGTTGTCATTCTGTATCCAATGTAGGTACCACAGCCTGGCGTTATTCTCCGTTGACAATAGATCCCTGGAAAGTGTACTTGACTGGCTGCACCTGTCTAACACGACTGCAACCAGCAGCTGGAGTGGGTGAGTGTAAACTGAATAACCTACCGTTATGCCGCGTATTCCTGCTTGGAAGCGGAAGGATTTTTTTCCAACCGTGCTGCGACCCACAGTTAATTGGGAACTCGTGGCCTGGCATGAGTAATACATGGATGTGGCAAATGGGATTGAGGCCTTTGGCCTCCGGTTGGTGGATCTGATCTATCCTCCCCCACCGTTTAGGAGCCGCATCTGATGCCTGATCATGAGGTGGCGTCTCACGGAAGCGGAAACGTGGTTCTTGACCAGGGAGATGTACGACTCCTTGCTTTTGTTTTCGCTCACTGCTGAGCTCATTACATGATGCATGTTTGTCCAGAAACGCCCCTTGACATAGGCACTCCACTGTACCAGCCTTCGGGTTATCCATAAATATCAATAAATAAACATGTAACCTGTTGTCATGTACCATTGCTGTACATGACTTATTATCACTGTCGAGAAGGAAAACACCAATTTTCCACAGGCCTAAAAGTCTGAATTATACATATCAAATGCACTGCCAAAGCAAACACCAAATATGAAATCCAAGCTCATGCCTGAGGGGAAGACGAGAAGGGGAAAACGTGGAGATTTTTGGGACAGCACGAGAATCCAAAAAATCTGGCTGTCGCGAATTCAATATTACGTAACATTCGCCAATGCTAAAATAACTCAGTTTGAATGTTTCACGTAACTTTTCTCCTTTTTTTGTCTATCGCCATATTTGCCATGGCGATGTGCAGTGCAGGAAGTTTTTCATGCGCATGCTTGATCCTTTGGCGATCATCTTTTTGCTTGCTGACTACACTCGAGGAGTTTCAGTTTTCTTATCCTAATGGTACGTCTGATGACGATCAAGTCCAATCCTTGTTGCTCTGTGTCTAATGTCAGTAACAATTAATCCAGTAATGATAGAGCTACAATTGTAGAGCTCTCTCGACTCAGCGAATAGAATATTTCAGTCATACAGTATTTTGTGAGTGGCAATCAGGCCGGGAAATTCAAACTGTATTTATGCCACCACAAACTGGTGCCGAAACCCGGGATTTGATAATTTAGAGCCATGAGCTCCCCGGCTGTTACTTCGAGACTTTCTCCGAAGCAGAGAACTGACAAGAAGTTATTGGACAGAAAACATGCTGACCTGGAAAAGGACCTTGAGAAGTCAGATGAATTCTCAGCGTACCGAACAACTCCCAACGATCAACTGGAAGACGCCATAGCAAAGCTAAGTCCTTTTTTGATTGAATTTCGTACCTCTGTCTCTTCTTATGGGAAGGTGTGTGAATCATTTGGGGATAGTCTGTCAAACCCTGCGGAAGACGTTGAGGCTGCTGTTGACTGGCACCTAGACCAATTTGTCCAACTTGAGAGACGAGTCCTCTCTTTGAATGCTACCCTCTCGTACTTGGAGAGCAGACGCCCCTCAACTCAAAATGTACAACAGCAAGTACCCTCGCAGGATGCTGCCACAGCAGCACTCATTAGCACCATGGAATCTTTGATAAAGGTCCAGACCAGTCAGCAGCAACAGCAACCAGGTCCAAGTACCAGTACTAATTCTAAGACCACAGCCAATGTTTCGTTACCGAAACTTTCATTGCCTACGTTTGATGGGAATGTCATGAAGTATGCTGAATTCTCAGATATGTTCCGTTCTTGTGTTGATAATAACTCACTGTTATCTAATGCCGAAAAGCTCACGTATCTCAAGTCTTGCCTCAGGGGGGATGCACTAGATGCAGTGTCTGGTTTCCTATGTACGGATACAAACTACCAACCTGTTGTCGATATCTTACAAGAAAGATTTGGTAATACTGAACGGGTCATTCATGCTCGTTACACTGCACTCATGGGTATCCCTGCTTGTTCAAACAAAACCCAGTGCATCAGGTCATTCTACGACCAAGTTGAAGAGCAGTTACGCCCCTTGCAAGCATGTGGACAGGATATCAACCAAAGTGTATTTGTATCGATGATATTGTCAAAGCTTCCCCAGCATGTTGTTCTCCAGTTGGAGTTGAAGAAAGTTAAAGTTCACTGGTCGGTGAAAGATCTCCGCAAAGCAATTCAGGAATATCTCATGGCCAAAGAAGCAGCAGAGGCACAGTCCTCACTGGCCACACCAAATCAGCCGAAACATACGGAACACAAACCGAGATCAACGTCAAATCAGTCTGCTGCTGTTCTGTTAGGCAATTCACGTCCCACCGAACAGCAACCACGGTGTCACTTTTGTCAAGGCAAACACTTTTCTGACGAATGCAGTACATACACGTCTGTCGATAGTCGAAAAGCCAAGCTGAATGACCAGTGTTTCCGGTGCCTCCGAAAAGGACACCCAGCGCGAGCGTGCTCTATTTCTCGTCTTTGCTATCATTGCAGACAACCCCATCACCGTAGCCTGTGTCCGCAAAAGTTTGCAACAAGCGTATCCACTCTGAATGCTGATGCCGAGGCGTACACTCCACAGCATACTTTAATAGCACTAGGCGAGCACACTTTCATGCAGACGGCGGTCACTACAGCACATCATGGAACCGGACAGTGTGAAGTACGGATTCTTTTTGTCACTGGCGCAACTAGGTCATTCATCACATCTAAGGCACGTGACATTCTTAGCTCACCGACGATCCGCAAGGACACCTTAGCGACATCAGGCTTCGGTAGCTCCGACAGAAGAATTCAGTGTCTAGATGCCACGGAAGTACTTATCAAGATAGCAGATGGATCGAAAATGCCACTGTCACTAAAATTAATGTTGTACCGGTCATTTCCAGCCCGATTTTGAAAGTGCCGGTAGTCGTGAAGAACCGCCCTGAACTAGCAGGCTTCCGTCTAGCTGAACCGTTGTGTGAGTCAGAAGAACGTGTCAGCATTGATATACTGATAGGAGGAGATTACTACTGGTGTACTAGCTGTGCTAGTACTTGTTAGCAACAATCCGAACTAGCGCACACACTGCACTGCATTGCTTTGTACTGCATTCAAGACTGACGTCATGCGCTTTGTTTTGCTGCGTAATCACAAATGGCACTAGCCCATTTTGCGGAAAAGAAAAACAAATCTTGCTTGCCCTGTTGTGCTCTTCCAGACAACGGATCGTGCTTCAGCAGTGTTTCTTTTCCTTTCGTAGCTTTGCTGCCAGCCCGAGTGTCACCTCGACACTGTATTTCTTCAGTACGTCTGACCTAACTGTCGACACTGTCAAGGCAATGCCTTGCCAAGCCCTCCGCAGCGAGCCCTCTCAGCGCGGCTTGAATCCGAAAGGAAACTTAGTAAAAGTATTTTACAGGACCGTTTGCTGGCACAACTAGCCCTTGGTAGTGAGGTCTCCTCCGGCCAGGAGAACCAGCAACATGACAGTGCGGACATGGCTCGCGAGCCCATAAGCCCGACTGACACCAATGCCTCCTCCGCCAGCTCAGGTGATGCGGGCTCAACGGATCTCTGCGCTCTCGTACGGGACGAGGTGTAGTCGGCTTTGTCGGCCGCCATTATATTATTATCGGAGAGCATTGTGCCGCTCCTCACCCATTGCCAAGGCAATGCGGCTGCTGCCGCCACTACGCCAGGCCAATCTCCTGTAACCCACCCGATCAGCCACCTGCACCAGCTGTGCCCAAGGCTGTGCAAGAACGTATCTTGGGAGGGGAGTTCGTAGATTTTTCAAGTTTGTTGCCTGAAATTCTTGCACACTTCCGGCCCAACATTCCGGCTGGCGCACAGCCCGAATAACGATAGCCAGCTAAATATCGTTGAGTCGGATGACGCGAAGCAGGTGCGTCGCAAGGTTCACGATAATTATACATGTACCTACCCGGCTCGAGGCATGGACCACATACATGTCTGTTATCACGGCTGCTGCCCTACACCGCACTGCTGAACTTTCGCACTGATTGCGTACCAGCAGTTGATCCTGACTGCTAACCGCCAGTTCTTCCCAAGCGCGTGGCTAGAGTACGACCGTCAGCTGCGGATGCTTGTGGCCCAGTAACCAGGCACGAAGAGGTTGGACACCATTGACGTTAACCTATGGCAGATAGCTGTCACAGGCCATGCACACCCAAAATGCGCTTAATGTAAGACGGTCCATCCAGGGGCGGTTTGCGTCCTTTTCGTCCCCAAGCCAGCAGCATTTACCTCCAGCGACGGCCAAGAAATCTGCCGCAACTTCAATGGAGGTCGCTGTTCTTCGTCGTCGTGCCGCTTCTACCACACCTGCAGCCAGTGTGGCAAGGACCACCCATGCATCATGTGCAACCAGCGGCAGCACAGAGCCAATCGGCCACCCCGCCGCTCCTAGCAGAATGGCCACTGAATCGCTTGACTCGGTACGTAGCTTCTTTCCTATACACTCTGCAGACACCACACTGCTAGCTGACCACTTTGCCCGCGTGTTACGTAACCACTCAGATCAATCATGTGTTGCGTATGTTCTCAATGGCCTGCGCCGTGGCTTTACTCTTGGATCTGCCGGCCAACACGACATTTCGGTTTTCTCTAATAATCTACCCTTGGCTTTCACTCACGCGGCATTATATCCGAGCAATTAGCCGCTTCCTGCACCCGCAGCGAGACCACAGGCCCATTTCCGTCACCTCCATTTCAGTTCATGCGCCGCTCTGGTATTGGTGCCATCCCCAAAAAGAACGGCAAGCTGCGAATGATCCACCATCTGTCTACTCCGGAAGGCACCGGCGCGAGCGACAGCATTCCTGCCGAGCTGCTCTCTCTGCACTACGCGAGCATTGACAAAGCGATCAACATCTTCATGTCATGCCCACAGCCTGTATATTTGTCCAAGCTCGATGTACGCAGTGCATTTCGGCAGATCCCAGTCCGCGGTCAGGACTTCGCTGGGAAGGCTCCTACTACTACGAGCGCTTTCTGCCTTTCGCCTCCGCTCCAGCCCAGCCGTGTTTGACTCAGTAGCCACAGCAGT